CAGCTGAAGCCAGCACAGTGGTCCTACCAAAACACCTTGTTCTAACATCTGGGGAGGCATCTGGCTTTACATTTTAACCACACAAAAGCGAGACAGACCAGAAACTCTTATAATACAGCAGTGGTAGGAATTTCCAGGTGAATACACGTCAGAATTTACTAAAATTACATAATAATATTTAAATATCCTATTTCTAAGCACACTTTGGAAACTGGGGAGCTTTGCCACCCCTGTACCCATGAATATTTCCTTATGCTTTTTTTTAAAAAAAGATTTTATTTATGTATTTGACAGAGAGAAAGAGCACTAGCAGGGCGAGTGGAAGGCTGAGGGCTTCCCACTGAGCAGGGAGCCCGATGTGGGGCTCGATCCCAGGACCCTGGGATCATGACCTGAGCCAAAGGCAGACGCTTAACTGACTGAGCCACCCAGGTGTCATGTTCCTTATACTTCTAAGCACCAAATATTTTTGTTTCCTTTCCTTATATTCCTCTTTTCAGGCAATAATCTAGAAAACACATAGAATGAAGTCACAGACTTGGCTCCCAGTCCCAAAAACTGTTCTGTGTAACACTGGCAAGCTGATTTTCTATAAAATGAGAATGATTGTGCCTACCTCAAAGGGCAAAGGGGATAAAGTATGTAAAATGTTTATCACAGTGCTTGTCACATAGCATTTACTCAGTAAACATTCGTTGTAATATTAGTATCATCACCCTACCTTTCACCTTTGCCACAAACCCATTCTCCTTTTAGGAAATACAGACCACTAATACAAATTTAAACTGTGACCATAATAACCTTATTTTTTATATTTGGGCTTGCAAGACCAGCCATGAAATTGTCTGTATTCTTCCTCCTACTCATTTAGCTGGAATTCAGGTGTTAGCACCAGGAGTATAGTAGTGTTATTCCCTGTCCGTCTAATCAACCCAAATTCCCACAGTTGTAGTTAATTTAATTGGGGATGATGGCACACTTAAGCTTTTTCCATAGAAACACAGTTTTTAAAAATTAAAACTGTAAACATTATCATTGCTATCCTTTAATTGCTGTACTAGTTATTAAAAAACAATAAATAATTAAAGCCAGTGTTTAGCAACAATAATGCTCATATCTTACAAATATGTGAATTGTTTTTCTTAAAAACGACCTTAGCCCCTCATTTTTTTCCTCGACCAATCTGATCCTGGGAGAGGTTAGCTAAGGAACTAACCAAGCGTCCAGGGGAGCTGGAAGCAGAACCAGGACAAAAACCCATCCTCTTGATCCTCAGTTCAGGGTGCTTTTCTCCCTACCCTACCTTATAAAAGAATCTGTCATCTGTTTTGCTCAAGTGTGGCGGCATGGATATCAACAGCTCTAAGAGTTTGCTCTCATGTTGTAGTGTGTGGTCTTTCTTTGGCTACCAGTTTAATTTCTTGGCAAAATCGTCTTCACTGAGCAATGAACAAATATAACTGGACACTTACTATGTGCCCGCCACTGTGCTAAACACTCCCCCCAAAGTTTTCTCATTATCTGCACAATAATGTTATGGCACAGAGTTATTATTCATGATTTATTAATAGGGTCAGTGAGTTTCAGAGAGTTTAGTGTCAAAGTTTTGTCTTATTGTACATTCATGACGGAGAAGGTATATTCCCAAATCTGGCTAACTTTGGGGGGGTTGTTATAACTGGAATCTAAATTTGACCTTCTACAATCATACCTGTCAAAATGGTACTTTCAATATGACTGAAATTCTCCCATATGAAAAAGTGATCGTAAGTAGAAACTATTCTTCTCTGTGCTATTACAGCTCCCCAGCCTGTGAATACAAATGAGGTGATAGTTACCTTCGATCCCAGCTTTTCCTAGCTTAATAACCCTCTTCCCTTTATAACCACAGAAAATCAATCCCCTTTGGAATTTCTCCTCTTCTCCCTCAACCAGCATGAATCTCTGAAGTCCCTAAATGCCCATCCAACCTTCTCTAGTCTCTGCTTTAAGCTTTAACTTGACTGTGGCTCAACCACATTTTGCTTAAGCCTCTCCACTGGCCGCAGTGAAATTCTGCTAATCTCTGTTCCCCAGCTCATCCAGTTGTCACTGGGCTCCTGGCCCCCATTCCATTCTCTGTACTGTCACTCTGACTCAGACTCCTTGACAAGATGGGAAGGGAAACAAGTCCCTTCTTCTATGAGTTGCTCTCTTAGAGGGCCACCAACAGATTTTCTTGGGTTCCAAAAGACAACCCAGTTTTAGGTGACAGCTCTTTTGATTATTTAATGAGTGTACTGTTGACTGCATGGGGTCAGCATAGGTACTTTTGATCTGGAAGCTCCTCTCCTCCAAATGTCAGGTCTTTGGTTGAACCCAATGTACTATGCCATACTTAGCATTTTCTTGGATTAGTTCTCTCTCCTGCCTCGAAAAATCTACCTGTGAAAAATTTCTTCCATCAGCACACTCCCTCTACCCAACTCCCTTTTTTCCTATCGGTCATCCAGTTCACCAGACATGCTTCAAGTTATTTTCCCTAGAAACTCCCACCTCCCTTTGAAAACACTGGATACAATTAGCAATCAGGAGAGAGGAGTGGGGGAAGGTTTCCCCAGTGCGCAGCCAGGAACCAACTCTTTCCAAGGAAATGTATTTTTATGACAGACTATAAATATTTACAGTTATGGGGAGAAAAAGCAATTAAATGTCATCTCCAATGATATGTGTTCTTCTATAAGTTTTTCTAAAGCTCCTCCTCAGAACCAAGGTCTGAAGTTCAGTGTATCTTCATCTCGCTTCCTGAGGTGAAGCATAATTTATAGCAATTGTACATTGTAATGTTCCATATCAATGTCAGACCTTTGATATTGATATGAGCTATAACTTCTTTATATTTGCCAATCATTGGCCATGCCATAGAATGAGCATTCAGATATGATCCTCAAAGAGGGCCTCATCGCTACAAATGTAAAAAATCATAAAAAGTAGCCTGTTACATTGTACTTGACATGGATTATACACGAGTATGGGTGTTTGGTCTAGTCTTAAGAAAAAACTCCATTTCTCTGAAAAATTTCTTAGCAAATTCAGCAGGATTTCGATGGGGGGGAACAACTTTTCTTATATATATTATTAGAATTTTTAAACATCATCTTTTTATTAAACTCTAATGTAACATTTAGAAATGTTATTTTAAATGGCTAGGAACAGTGTGAGCTGAGGAGATGGTAACAACATCTAGGAAAGAGCACATGAATGGGCCTGGGGCCTCCTTAGTGGTAGAAGGTGAGACTCACCCCTCCCCACTCCTCGCTGTCACTCAACCTCGATGGGGGAAGTTTAAACAAAACCAAGTTAAAATGCTTTGTATTAAGGAAAATTAAGGTCCCAGTAGGGAGTAGATTGGGGCTTCTTAGACTGGAGGAAAAATGGCAAGACAGAAGAGAAGGTTTGGTAGACTAGGGGGGTCTCTTAGGGAGGGGCACATCAGACCCTGAGGACAGTCAGGACTTCCCCATGCTGCGGTTATCCAAGAAACTGGAGAAGTCTAATTTCAGGAAACATTGAATTTTAATTTTAAGTTGTTTGTTATCTGTGCTCTGCTGTGCTTCCATTCAGCAGCCCTGTGTTGGTGGCATCTCAGGGAAGTTGAAGAAAGTAGGGCAGGGCCCATTGTAGAACAAAGCTCTAGCAGGAACAGAACCTCAGCCCGCAGAGGCAGGCTGACCACTGCAGGAGGGGAGTAATTCCAGAGAGAACAGTGACTGATGGGAATCCTGGAAGAGAGAAGAATTTCTACAGTTGTGAGGGAAAGGGGTGACATAGAGCATTTTATTTGAGGTATTGAGATAACAGCTGATCCCAGAAGGCTGAAAAACAGAGATTTCAGGAGTGGACAACTCACACTAACATGTAACAATAATCCAAATCAAATGGTAGCCCCCAAATAACTAAAATATTTGAAAATAATTTGTTTTATTACTATCAAAAGTTTAAATAATCAGGGAATGGAGTATTTAATCATCAAAGGTTTTAATCTCAACTTTATAAAATGTACTGAAGCTAGACTATGCTTTTTTTTTTCCCCAAAACTAGAATATTTTTAAGTTGATGAAATCATAGATACATTACTTATTTTGGGCGACCCACAGTTTCTTACTATAAGCTGAGAATTGTTGTTACAGCAGCCAGCACTAGAGTTTCTCTTGGGTTACAAACTTCCTTTATTCTTTTTAGGCCATTTAAGGTGGGAAGGAGAAGCCCTGAGGGCATGGCACAAAGGAGCCTGTGAAACAGAGTTTTAAATTGTCCACAGAAGAAGTAAAAGGAGTGGGGGTGAGGAAGGGCCATGAGAGAGATGGGGCACTGTGCAGGAAATGAGAAGGTGGACTGAAGAAGATGGAAGGGAGCCACTGGACGGAAAGGTGTATTAGTTATCTGTTGCTGCATAACAAATTACCCCAGAACTTAGTGGCTTAAAAAACCAGATATTTATTTTCTCACAGGTTCTGTGGGTCAGGAATCTGGGTGCTGCTTAGCTTGGTGCCTCTGGCGCATGGTCTCTCATGAGGTTGTGGTCCCGGTGTCGGCTGAGGCTGGGGTCTTCTGTGAAGACTCAGTGGGAGAGGATCTGATTCCAAACTGACTCACCCAGTTGTTGCCAGGGTTTGATTCCTCGAGGGCTGGTGTGCTGAGATGTGTGTTTCTCCATAGGCAGCTCACCACATGGCAGCTGGCTTTCTTCAGAGAGAGCAAGTGAGAGTGTGCGCCCAAGACAGAAGCAACAGCCATTCTGTAACCTAATCTAGTACATGACTTCCCATCACCTTTGTCACATTCTTTTTGCTAGAAACAAGTCACTAAACCAGCCCATGTTGAAGGGTAGGACATTACACAAGAGCATGAATACCAGGAGGTAGGGATCATTGGAGACCATTTAGAAGCTTTCTGTCCCAGGTAGCCAATGAGAAATCCTCAGTGGCAGTGTGGCTGGGGGTATTTTAAGAGCAGGGATGATAACTATCGAACTTTCATTCTTTCTAAATCTGCTTCAGCCTCTTAAACATCAACACTGACTCTTGCACTGTCCATCAGGTGTTGGGAGATTGACATATCCCTAGAGGGGGTGGGGTGGGCATGGGAAGGGTGTGGTTGGTGGATGGAGAGTTGGAAGTTTTCAGACTTTGATATTTGTTGTCTCACTCTTTCATTACTGTATTTTCTGAGGCCTTTGGGAACATTCCCCATTAGTGACCATGACTCTATCAGTTCTTTTTTTTTTTTTTTTTGACACAGAGAGAGACAGCGAGAGAGGGAACACAAGCAGGGGGAGTGGGAGAGGGAGAAGCAGGCTCCCCGCTTAGCAGGGAGCCCGATGCGGGGCTCGATCCCAGGACCCCGGAATCACGCCTGAGCCGAAGGCAGACACTTAACGACTGAGCCATCCAGGCACCCCAACTCTATTAGTTCTATTAGACCACTAGCATTCAGAAAAGTTAAAAAATATTATTCATGTTTTTCTAAAACAAACATCTCTTCTTGTGCACTTTTTAAGGTTATTTTTTAAAGAGCTACAAAAAGTAGGTTGTTGTTATTAACAAAGTAATCCACTCCTGATACATTTACTCTAAAAAAATAGCTTAATCCTAACAGGAAAGGGAAAACCCTATACATACATACATACATACATACATATATTCATGTCTGAAACCATTTACGCATCTCCTTAAGCAGTACTTTTCTTCCTTAACTGTGTATTTAAGGAATTCCGTCTGCTTCTTTACATTTTCTCCGATATTGTTAAGGGCAAAATTTACACTAGATTTTAAATTGAAAAACATTCCTCTCATTCCTACCTTGTTCCATTACTTGATTGATTACATTTTTTTTTATCTGCTAATGCTTATCATCCATTCTTAGGAAACACAGTCTCCAGCCGTGATCTATCTTGATCTCTTTATCTGCTGTGTCACAAAGTCACATTACAACAGATTCTTGGTAATCTAAAAAATACCAAGATGCTTCTATGATAACTGACAAACCCAGTAAGAATTTCCTGCACCCACCTAACCAGCTCTGCAGAAAAAAAAAAAAAAAAAAAAAAAGCTAGGCTCCAGCCAGATGTTTACCACAGGCTGCTCAAAGCACAGTATGGCCAGCCCGGCTCCCTGGTGTTCCGTGATTTTGTCCTCAGTTTTGTGAGTTTCTGTAATGATCTGAAATAAATTAAAATGTACAAGAAGAGGGGTTTTCAAACATGAGAACCATGAGACGCTAGCACCTAATGGAATAGCACTCAGTAGAGAAAAGCACAACGAGAAAAAGTGCAAGGGCCCCAACGCCCAACATTTAGAGAAGAGGATACTCACCATGCGGTGTGCTTACCTCCACTCAAGAGTCTGTTCCTTCTGCAGGTGATTTCTGTCGTCTCTAAAGCTACTGTTTTGCCCTTCTCTAAGCCACCTGAGCCAGTCAAGGACCCACAGGGTATTCTACCTCCTCCAGCGCGTGGTATTTGAGAACAGGTCTGGCCTCTGTTATGACCGTTTTGTGTAACCTCAGAGGGCGCGGGAGGAAAGCTTTCGGGAGCCTCTGCCCACCTCCCGTTAAGGCCAGTTTATTCGCCTCGTGCGCAGGGCGCGCTGGAATGTTTGGCAAGTGCAGCGCAGTGAAATGCGTCATTGTGCTGCTCTCCCAGCGCCTGTTTCCCACGTAGGACATTCAAAATGTTCAGTTCCCTGGAAAATGTTCCAAAGAAGTTTCACTGTATTAGGCTTTGTCTTCTCCTCTTTCACAAAGCGGTCAGCTCTCTGTGGAGAACAGGCTTTCCTTTCCATAGGCATTTCTGTTGGCACCGGGCCACCTAGACTTGAGCTGCGGCCACGGGGCTTCGGAGGAGAAAAGCAGGGGGAAGGGACGCCCTACAATCCCCCCCCCAATCAATACACAGAAGGATGCCGACTTGAAAATGCCTATCCTTTTGCTCCTGAAAACATTGTCAAAGAAATGTGTTTACAACGATAACTAATAATTATTTTTAAGAAGCGAGATCATTTCCCAAATGATAAAGAATTCAAAAAAATTATTTGACATCAGAATATAAAACAGGAGCTTTTAGGCTGAAATATGTGGTTGGAAATCCTTAAAATATTGATGTCAAATGTTTAAGGTTATGTCACATACGTTCATTAGGCTTAAAAAACTTTCCCGATGACTGATCTTCACAGAAAGAAGTTTTCTGATTATGGGAAATTTACAAAAGTAATAGGGATTTCTGAAAAATTACTGTCAGGAAAGATAAAGTAACTTCAGTTTGTCACATTTCAGTGGATTCTACATTCAACACAGAATAACTTTTTTTATATTTAGAAAAACAAGACACAGCTGGACCAATTAAGCCTTTTTTTTTCCTTTCACTACGCGCAGAAGTCTGAAAACATTTTTATTGCTTTCCTGAAAGCACCACAATAAATAACTCAAAATTGTTGAGAAGTTGCAAGAAAGAAGCTTGAAATATGGAGATGATATCAAGATTCTCAGAGATCGATTAAAGCATGGAATGCAAACCAAATGATTTTAAACACACTCACTTGTGTGATCCCAACTTGGGATTTTCAGTCAACTTTTCTTGAAAGTATTTGTTCTTTAGAATGTTTTGAATTTTTATGATTCTTTGGGAATATTGGTCACCTGTTGTCAATTTTTTATATTAGGTCAGGATCTACTCAAAAATGAGTTAAAAGCCACATGAATTTTGTGTCTGGGAAATAAAGTTTGACTTCCACAGATGTTGTAGAGATCCCAAATATACACTGCAGTACATCACTGATATTTTCCCTGTCACAGAAGAGACAAAAGTACTTTTGATACCAGGGAGGTCTGGGTAGGGAACCGGCACTGAGGTGGAGCCTACTTTTGACTTGTAGAATTAAAGCTTCTTGATAGACACAAGGCAATCTTTTGACAACACATCAAGTGACTTGGACATTATTTTAAAAATTGTGCCTTGCTAAAAAGATGCCCTGAAGTGTGAACACATTGGTCTGGCCCTGTCCTGCTTTTTTTTTTGACCCAGCTGGGGAAGCAGTGGAAATAAAGTTAACGGTGGCATTAATCAAACGTCTCTTAATTTTTTTTTTTAAATTTTATTTATTTGCGAGAGAGACAATGAGATACAGAGAGCATGAGAGGGAGGAGGGTCAGAGGGAGAAGCAGACTCCCCGCTGAGCAGGGAGCCCGATGTGGGACTCGATCCCGGGACTCCAGGATCATGACCTGAGCCGAAGGCAGTCGCCTAACCAACTGAGCCACCCAGGCGCCCAAACGTCTCTTAATTTTGACAGCATCTGGATTTCATTCTTCTTACTGGGTGGCACTACCACTGATCTGTTTTATTTTTTGACTGTGCTTACTGATAACCCTGTCAGGGTTGAGAAGTAGAACGACAGGTTGACCACTTAACTTTAGTGTTGGTCTGCTGAACTGAATGGGAGAGAGAAGTGACTGCATTTTTAATGAACATGTATGAAGTTCATGGTGGTATGAGTATAATAATAATTAAAAAGGGGGGATGGGAAAGAAAGGAGTGTGATTTAGGAGAATTTACAGATTCAGATAGCCTTAAGAGTAGAAAAATATAAACATTTTTATCTTTAAAGTTGTAAAGAGGCTTCCGAGGAAATGCTATTCCAAGAAAATGCTACTCTTTGCATTTTCTTACAGAAACATAAAAACAAAATGGCTATAGAATAGGGTAACAGTTTTAGTAAACGTGGTTTGAATTATGTTCAGGCAAATGCAAAGTGATATGTTTTCTGGGAGAGGTGTCTAGTACGTAGATTTTGGTGTTCCTTGAAACTGTTTAAGATTTGATCTGGGCTTTTGGGAGGAGCTTCATCCTTCTTGCAAATCTAATACCACTAGACTCTAAGCTTACTCAGAAGAAAAGATTACCACCACCATTTCCTGTGCCTCCCCCCACAGTGCCTGCTACTTCGTCCACAATAGGAGCTAAGAAATATTGTTGCCTCAGTTACTGAAGGGTCACATTCAGAAGCACTTTCATTGGCAAAAGCAGAGTAAGCCCATCTATACTACAGTTATTTCTAAAATCTCTTGCTGCTAATTAATGAAATATATCTGCCATGAGATGTCACGTCTATTTAGAGTGGTGGAAATAGAATCTCTTTTACTGCCATTCTCCTTCCACCATTTATTTGTTTTCATAATCGCAAAAGCGTCTGCCCAGTATTCATTACTCAGGTTTTCTTCCCAGCACAGTAAAACCGTCTGCAATGTCAGAAGAGATGTGTTAAGCTCTAGTACCCAGCTGTGTGCTGAAATACAGTCAACCACTGGCGTGCTTATCACAGTTTCTTTGTGGTCCATTACTCTCTTTTGCATTACTATTGAATATTTACTAAGAGTGCCCGTCAGCTCCATCCTTTCATTTCCTCTCCTTCGAAGGCAGTGCCCTGGTGGTGCATGGCTTGTCCTCGCCCTTCCTTGCCCTTCCTTCCCTGCCCCCATGCCTTCTAGCTGTCTACTCTCTAGCTCCCTCCAGTTCAAGCTGCTGAAAAACCAAACACAACGTTTCCCCTGACGCCACTTGATTCCCAGTGGAACCCCCTCCCCGCAAAGAATAAGTGAAAATGACTCAGATGGAGGGAAATAGACAGAAAAGATGAGGAATCCAGCGGCGGATATTCAGACCAGGTGAGAGTCTGTTGGAGAAAAAGGAGCAGAAGACAGTGACATCACCTTTCCACTCTCTCTGGGAATAAGTCTGGGAAGGAGCCAAGTACACAGATTTAAGGCAGAGGTCTCACACTGGTGGCCGGCGTGCTGGGTTTGCACAAGGTGTCGATTTCATTTCTTTCTCAGATGCACCAATATTAAAATATCAGACTTGGTCTACAAATCTACGTGTCCAGATTCTCTTGAAAAATCGGAAGACCTGGACCCACATTGCAATGCTTCTCATGCCCCGTGATTTAAAGAGACCCTGAAGGGGCGCCTGGGTGGCTCAGTTGGTTAAGCGACTGCCTTCGGCTCGGGTCATGATCCTGGAGTCCCAGGATCGAGTCCCGCATCGGGCTCCCTGCTCTGCAGGGAGCCTGCTTCTCCCTCTGCCCCTCCCCCCTCTCATGTGCTCTCTCTCTCTCTCTCTCTCATTCTCTCTGTCTCAAATAAATAAATAAAAAATCTTTAAAAAAAAAAAAAAAAAAAAAAAAAAAAAAATAAAGAGACCCTGAAAAGACAAAACAAAGCCACACAATTCTGGCACACAGTAAAAGATTTATCTCCCCGGGTGCCATGACCTGCAACTACTTGGTTGTGCAGGTACAGCAGACTGAGAATGGGGAAAGGTTTTGGGCTTAGAACTCAGCTCCTCCACTTACTAACCGCAGAACCTTCTCAATGTGAGCCTCACTCATTCTCTTCTGTAGACATGGTAGTGATGCTGCTATTTGTCTTCACTTGGTTGTCCTGAGGATCAAATTAAAAGACAACAACAACAAAGGATTTGAGTGAAAGTGCTGAATATGCACAACATTGCAGGGCAACTAGTTTTCATTGTTCAACTTTTTTGGGTTGTGGCATTTACTCTATGTGAAATCGTTTAAAATACAAATAGACATGGATGGGGAATATATTGATTTACGAATGCGTAATAACACCCAGGAGGACACAAGGATGGCTGTGGGCCAGTTAGGGGCCCTTAGGCACGGGACCCAGCCCCTCATATTCCTGGGTTCCCTGAGCCCTCATCTGCTTGTTTCAGATCCCATCCAGGGATCTAGAGTGGTTCCTGAGAACTTGAAGTATGTTCTGTTTCTGAATACCTCTCCATTTAAAGCCATTTCTGGAAGGTACAGACCACACTATTCCCTTCCTCAGGATTTTGTTCTCAGCAGATTGAAGCCATGAATGGCACAGGATCGGACAGCAGAGATTTTCTTTCCTTTCTTCCTCCCTCCCTCCTTCCCTTTTTTCTTTTCTTCATCAGAAACAAATTCATACTGTAACAGTTTTTATTCCAGTGTATCATCATTCCAACTCAACTCTTTCTTTAAAATTCATAAAATAACGATCTTCCTTCCCATTCCTATCCCTTTCACATTATACGTGTTTGCAGGAAATGCAGCCCTAACTTCTAACAATTCAGAGAAGCCAGGGATTGTGTTTCCATGTTCTACAAGCCCATTCTGGCTGCCACTGTCCCTTTTCACTCCACACCTCAGTTGTCTCTTATGCTAACACCTCTCCCCAATCCACTTCCCTCCCCAAACACAGACACATGCTTCCCTCATATTCCTCTGCTAACAGAAAGCTGTTGTGTTTAACAGTCTTTACTGAAGGATAGGTGGTCACAAAGGGACATTATACGTTGAATGGAAAACAACTTGAGACTTACGTTTTAAAAATCTTGTTTGTGGAGGACAGTGGGCATCCCCTTCTGAGCACCCCTCCAGCCTGCCTCTGTCCTCCGGCTGAGCTGCTGGGTCTCTGAAATCCTATCTCCTCATTGTAGGAGCTGACATCTTTCAGGGTCTTATTGC